ATAAGATTCTACTGTAAAGTATTTCCATGTACTGAATCATATACGCTCATTACTCGGTCTGGGCTCCTATTGCATGAATACAGAGCAGCTGAGGTCCAGTGGAGGCCCAGGTTGCATTGAGATCTTCAGGTCACCTTCCTGGCTTTACAGGGTTCTGGTCAGGCCCATTTATTGAACAGTAAAGCACCGTAACACCTCAGTCACTAGGCCCCTCTTCTGGCACTCCCCAAGTCTTAAAATGGTTTTCCTACACGTTTACCTTCCACTCAACTTTCTGAACAAACCAGCTTCTTAAGTTACCAACATTTCCACAAAAAAAAAGTGGATATAGCATGCATTGGCCCTTAATTTGAGCAGGGAAATAAGATGATCTGCCAATAGAAGGAGTGTCTAAAATAAAGGAAGTCTTTTTTTAAATGTAAATCAGCTTATTCATTGTTAAATTGTCTTACCTGCTGAAAAAAGGGAAAAACACAGATTCAACATTTATTTATTGCGAGGTGCATCTTCCAGTCCTTGAGGACAGTAACTGTATTCTACACATTTGGGTCCAGTTATTTCGATTTTCAAAATAACTAAATTGGTCCATAATGTTTATAAAAAGTGTGACCGGGTCTGAAGCTTTTATACATCCTTATGTTCACAGGGACATTTCTAGGATTTCACGCTGGTTCTACGTTAAAAGGATGAATGACGTCTGAATAAAACCAGAAGGCGACATGCTGTAACTACCACTTTATTACTAGATGATGACACAAGCACAAAAATACTCTTATTTACATCTAGGTTTTAAAAAGAGCCATTAAAAGACACTTAAACATGGTGGGAAATAAAGCACTTTCTCGGCTAATGAAACTTTGGCAAATTCAACATCTTTCTGTTTGGATGGGAGAGGATGATCTGTTAAACATGCATCACAGAGCATTAAAACAGTTTCTCTACTTCAAGTCCGGAGCGGTTTAGTCTTAACTCTTTAAATGAAATGATGGACTCAAGATGAAGAAAGAAAGTAAAGGAATAAAATGTTCCTGACCCTGTTTTCTCTTAACATTCACACCTGCAGGTTTCTCAGCTCGACACGGACATGAATTAAATACATCAAACAGCAGGCAGCACGAGGTGTCAAAGTACAAAAATAAACTATGCAGCAAGACGTAATCGGTGAACTGGAACCGTGGAGCAGCAACACTAAAGTTCAGAAAACTGGAAACCATTGGAATGACGGTTTTCCCAGTACAGCAGCGAATCCGTCCTTCAGGCCGGCGGGACGCTCAGCTGGACTCCTGAGCTTTCAGAAGACTGCAGTCAAACACAGAGAGGGGGAGGAGGGGGGGTTAATACAGTCTGGATGATTTATTATAACAGAGCTAATCTTAAACTAGAGAAATTACTTGAATAAACTGGGTTCCAGCAGCATTGATTGGTGCGTTTGGCTGCTCCACTCCAAACTACAGAAGCTACACTGTTTACTGAGGAAACTTTTAAAATAAGCCATTTTTTTCAGCAGCAGCTTTCAGTAATAAAAAAAAATGAATTTTAATAATTTTTTCCATCTGCTGACCTTTGACTGAATTATAAACAAAACGTTTCTGTTTTTAAAAATGTTCCATTGGGCCTAAAAATCATTCTGCGAATGCTGGGAGGACTGATTCCAGCTCTGCTCTCTGATCCAGATCACGCTTCAGAACTCAGGAGAAGTTCTGGGGTAGTTAAAGCACATCTTCTGTTCATATATTTTTGGGTTTCCAGGCATAAATGGTGTCACATTCACTGTTCCTTCACTAAATAAAGATTATTTTTTTAATGCTTTTTAGGTTCTCCTTTGTATTCTAAACATGGTTTCTTGTTTTTACAACTTGTAGAGTCATTTAAAAGGGAAAAGATCAGTTTCAGCAGCATGTTTGCAAATCATGAACCAAGGTTTAACTTCTAACATATTAATTATTTAATTCACCAGGTTAATGTTAAACCTTACAGCTACTAACCGATTTAACGGCATTTTGTTTTTTATTTTGATTCACTGCTACATCCTTAATGTACCTACTGGGTTGCACTAGACACATATTTCTTACTCATATCTACAGTCTAACTGTGACCCTTACCTGAATCATTACGGGTTCATATACAACCCTGATCTAAACTCAATTCACATCTAAAGGCTGATTTTTACTCAGAAATCAGGTCGTCTGCGTGTGTCACAGTGAACTCAGAGACGTCCCTGCCCCTGCCGCAGACACTCTGCTGCGTCTCTCCATAATTATAGGTGACCGCAGACAGGAGGCCTCTTATTGGTCAAATCTACATCTGCTCTACACTATTTGTATCTCCTGTTCGGTACCTTACCAGCTTGTTTGGTTTTTTATGACCGCCATAGTGGAAAATGACTGGTGAAGTTGGACCAGCTAAAGGGGCAAGGTGCGCGAGAATGCTGGGACCCTTTTCCCACCTGGATACCCGCTCTTTTTGCCCCTCATGTCATGCTAGAAAAGCATTTGTACCCATGATGACCAGAGGTTGGTCCCCACTAGAGCACGCGCTCCCCGCGGAAAATGGTCCCCATGATATAAGAAATATGCCCCCACGCACATTCATTTTTCAGTGTTGACCTAGTGGTTAGAGCAGAGTGCTGGTGCTCTGAGAAGGATGCAGTACCTGGTTCGATCCCCACAGCCTGCACTCTGGGTTCCTGAGCAAGACCCTTAACCCCACACTGCTCCCCAGGTGCCACACAATGGCAGCCCACTGCTCCCCAAGGGGATGGGTTAAAATGCAGAGAGGGAATTTCCCCATTGTGGGACAATAAAGGGATTTACACACACACACACACACACACACACACACTACACATTCTATGTTGAATGACTGGGATTTGAACTCAACATTGAACTCATGATGGTCTCTGCAGAGTTAAATCTCATTTTGCAGAAGGAACAGTATAACCTTTAGTTTTAATATGTTTTTTTAAATCTTAATCTAGTGTCACCGATCAACATTTTAGGTTCCACTGGTGAGCAATTCGCACTCTGAGGCTTATTTCCTCCTCTTGCTTGGCGGATGTTCTTTTCTGCTCGCGCTCTTCCTGATTGAACTCTGCTAACTGATTAATACCACCTGTCCAGAAACCAAAGATCCTGAAAAGCAAACCGCTGAATAAGTGGACTCAGAATATCTCAGATTAGGTTAATCCAACTCTCTGAAATGAGGCCCTGCTTTGCTCTTGGGAGAGGATTGCTCCATGTTAAAAACTGTTCACTCCTACTAACAAACTTATCAAAAAAGGAATCCTTACCTCTAATATTAATGGATTTTTCTTGCATTATCTTATTTTATTTAAAGTAATAAAAACTAAAGAATCTGTTAAATTAGGCTCAAACGTTCTGGTTGATTTTACATCAGTTTAATGACTCTTCTAAATAAAATCTGATCCCTCCGAGTCTAAAACCAGAAGATGAGCAGAAAAGTGGATCCAATAGTTAAAGGTCTCCTTTCAGTCCAGAAAGCTCAAACCTGGATCGTCTACCTGTGGTTTTCTCCTGCTGAGGCATCTTCAAGCTTTTCCATCTCCACCTCCTGCTTCTTCTCCTCAGGGCTGATGTCCCCGTTGGTCACCTTGTCTGCAGGGCAGGAATGGAGAGTTTTTCAGTATAATAATACGATTTAAAAGCACCACTCAGGTCACTTAAGGGCACCGAACAATCGCTCTATAATTGTACGGTGAACGGCCTTAATTTCCGAAACCAGCGCGAGCAGCAGCATGTGATGACACCCAGCTCTGCAGAACTTCGCTAAATTGATAGATTTTCCATCCATTTGCTGCGCTGTGCAAAAATAAAAAGACAATCCATCAAATTTGGTATTTAGGAGTAAGGTTGTGGCGGCAGTGTTTGATAAAAGCTTGTTTCTCCTGAGAA